TCCAGAACTGGACGCCCGCAACTTGTAGATTTGGTACTACGAACACATTTGGGTAGAAGCCTGGACTTAGTTCCGGCTGATGTACCCTGTGTATGGCGCCTTTTCCCAGCAAACTGCTACTTCCGTCGTATGGCTTCCGCCTTGCGGGAGTCCCCTGGCAGTGCCCAACAGGGGGACACTGACAGGGAAAATGGAGATTTCAGCAGTATCCCTTAACAGGATGTCACCACCTGGAAAGGTCCAGGGATCGGTCACCCGCTGTCTCCAAACCGGACTACACTGGGGCAATCTGTGTATGACAGGGATATGTGGCCATGGGTTCGGCAGTTGCGAGGGGGGTGGTGGTGCTCTCTTCTCCCATGGGGTGAGTTTCCCAAGGCCTGAAGTAGTCACTAAGTTGTCACCTGGCCACTCGCCAAACACATGCCTGTCCCCCCGGTTGCAGAGGTGAGCATCAAACGTGGACGTAGACGTCTGCCCAGGGAGGGTGAGGAGCCACCACCTGGCTCTTACCTCCCTGGGGTTGCGCTACTACTCTTCCCTCCCATGGAAGGGTATGAGCACATGCCTACTGGCTAACTCTGGCTAGCGACGACGTCCTAGGGCATGGTGTTTTCTGTGCTTTGGGTGCCCTCCGCTTGCCCTTGGCAGGGCCAGCAGATTTGATCTGAACCCTCTGGTTCATTGCACTCCGTAGCTCAGAGACTGTACCCACCATTCCCTGAACAAAGAAGGTGGAAGATGTCCAGTCTGCGTCACTGAGGTGGGGATGTACCCCACCGACTCAGCATGTCGGCAAAAACATATGCGTCTAAATCCTCGTCTTGTAGCACAGTAGTGGCCCTGGCCAAGAGAGCCAGGTGACACTAGGGGGTGTCGCATGTAGATGTGCGGTGGCCCACCAATAAAAGTGTTGCCTGGTCTAGGAGGCTGGTGCGTTCTGCCTCCGATGTCTCCAGAGTTCTGGGCACGCACAATAATGCGCTCAAGCAACTCTGCACTCAGGGCTGGATGGGCCGTCTCCGATTGGCAAGAACGCCCATGGAAAGCGGCTGTCCCCTTTTGCCCGGTTTGCCAAACACAAATTCGTGGTACTGGGGTCTGGCTAAGAAGCCTTGGGATCCAGTAGGGGGCGTTTTGGTCTCATCCCATGCTATGGGGTCTGATCCCAAAACCACACCGACTGGGTAGTGTTTGGTCCAGTGGGAAGTGTTGCCTAATGTCTTCCCCAACTGGGGGCCTTAAGCATTACATCCTCCATGGCTGACCAACGTCCACCCATCAACTCCGTTTCTGTGCTCTGCGCCCCACTCCGCACTCGGACGAACAGGAAGAGACGTGCCAACGGGGTTGCTTTGGATCCCGATGCCCGTGATCCCATAAGCGTTGAAGCAACCTTAGGTGGTCGCCTCAGGATCAAGGGTGGAGGTACTACATCGTATCACTAGGATTGCTGATACTCCGTATCACCCCAGAAGCGTGGCTCACTGAGTCATTACAGATGGAAGACTCTGAGAGACAGCCCGGAGTACCGACTGTATCCGACACGAGGGAACTGCGTCTCCTTTCAATTTGAATATGTGAGAGGGAGCGTGTTCGACTGTGCGTCTCATGACAGGGTCGGTTCCCTCTGGGGACGCCCGTGGGTCGGTAAGAAGGGAGTCAAAACCCACAGCGGAGACCGGACACAAGGATAAATTCGTTACCATTGTACCGTTACTGCGTGCCGAACCCTAGCTGGCTGAAAGTAGGGGGGGGGGTCAACATGTGCCCTGCCCTGAAAGCCTTGCCCAGAGAACGGAGGCTTGGCTGCCAGCACAATGCTGGCATTTAGTGCCCGAGGCTCCAGAGGAGGCCTGGTGCAATTAGCCTGAGCCTCGGCCTCACCCAAAATTAGTGGGAGAGCTGCGGCTGGGAACGGGGGTTCCCCGGAAGAGACGTGTTTGAATGCAAACATGCTTTCGTGTTTCTTCCTGCTTGCCCACCGAGGGGACACAGTGGAGACAGCTCACTCCGACTGCGTCTGATCTATCTGGCCTGCCAGGGATGCAATTGCCCCGACAGTCACTCGACCGAAGCCCTCAACTCGGAGGCAAACCCGGCGCCATGCGAGGAAGGGTCTACAAAGAGACCCGCAACGGGTCCCATAGGAGGAAAGCCTCCAGGAGCACAGCCTCGCAGCAGCCGGTAAAATCGGGTAAACCACCGCCTGAAAAATCCGATCAGTGGGGAGAGACCGAGAAAAATATCGGTACCTTCACCATCGGGCCTTCGACTTGATGTCCCGGTACACGAAGCACCGGTAGTCGAGTGTGAGAACTTTCAACTCATGCCAAACACGCAACTCACTTTAACCGATTTGTTTACTGGATGCGCGACATTGCTGTGATGCGGTCAGTCTCAGCGATTTTGATGGCTCTGAAAGAAAATCTCAGGCCTCAGAACTCCAGTGAAAAACACACACCTTCACACAAAAACCCTGAACCCCGCACGCAGCTACGACAAAGTATCTCGGATGCAGGTTCTATGCTGATAAATTCTGAATATAACAATGCACAGTTGACTCTAAACATGAGGAGACCCAAAAGGAAACGGCAGCGAGCCCTGGTGCTGTCATTACATCCATACATTGCTAAATACATTGTAAATAAAAGACGACATGCATGAGGGAAAAACAAAATACAGTTGTAAAAAGTGCCGCCGTGAAACCAACAAGTGGTTACGTAGTAGCGACAGGTTTTAATTTCTTTCCCTTCACACAAAGGGGAAAACGACACCAGGGTGAAAATGACAAGGACAACTTATCCTACCAGCTACAATGTTGGATGCCGTGCAGCGGCAACAACCCAAGCTAGAAACCTGGACAGGAAAAAAGGCAGGCGATCCAGCAGAGCTGCTAAAACTTCATCCCCGTTGATGCGGAGAAAAAGAAGGAGTGATTGTACAGCCGTCTATGGCGCTGCCATATGGCCTCGGTCACGTGGTTCGTGACGTAAGGGAAAGAGAATCTTGGGGTCATGGGGCTTCCCCTGACCTAGATTCTATCTCTCTGTCACCGGCAGAATCGCTGATTAATGCCTACAGTTCAAAATAGTCATTTTGACTGACCGGAGTCTATGGTGGGTAATTGAACGTAGTGAATAGGGCATTTTTGATCAAAAATAACTAAACTATTCGCTATAAATAAGACAATTGAACATATCCACACGAAATGAACAAATCCATGAGAGAACCACCCAAGGTACCTTCCGAGAAAGTTTCACAGCTATACAGTTTGTGGTTTTTAAGAAGAAGTCGAAAATGTAAAGTTGATGACGGCAACGGCGATGGCAACGGCGGACAATCAGTAATACTATAAGCTCCGCTAAAAAACTGATTTGCCCATATACATGTATTGCAGGTCAAAAACTTGTATATAAAACCTAAACTGTCATCAAACTGTAAGGCGGTCGCTGATTGGCTGCTAGGTTTCAAATACCCAAGGTAAGTGTTTTGTGTTCATCTGGTAATTAGGTGTTCGTATGCAAGGGATTTTTTCACACAAAAACAACGAATCCGGCCGAATTTTGTTAGGAGTTGGCTTAATAATACACCAACAGATCATTTGGCTGTGAAAGATTGGTATTTTATGCCTGAATCTTAAAAACGCAATTCACAACTTGGCTCTTTATTTAGTTTCATGCTGTATTCAAGATTGCGGCCCCCATATAGTGAATATCGCATATATTTTATTATCACTCGTGCGCCAACTGACTGTAACTCAACCATGCACAGATGAAGTCCCAAAAATTGGATTTCACCTCTGTGCGTACTTGTGTCTGCATCTTCAACTGTACTATGGACATGCGGCTGGGCCAATCTCGTTCATACTTTACACATACATTATGTAACTTGGTATACATGTCTATGCTCATTTGTTTATTATGATCAAATTCAAGATGGCCAAATGGTGGCCATTTTAGTGTTAAAAATTCATCAAAATCTGTCATTCCGAAACTGAATCTCGTGTATATAAAAAATCTTCAAACCTGGTGTATACATTTGTGTAATGTGTACCTTGTTGCATGTTATATAACTGGGTTTTTTTCTCAGATTCAAGCATTTCTGCCACTGTGAATCAAGATCAAATCAACCTATATACAACAGACAAGTTATAATTCAAATGGCTGACTGATTTCAGTTCAATTTTTTTACTATTGCATGATGGGAAATGTGTCATGTCAATGACATTTTGATAATTTAAACCAATCAAATAGTCACATTTTTGTAAAGACAGCCATTAACATGTAATGTAAGTTCTAAGGTAGAAGTATTGTTAAAGGGCGGTTAGTCGTTGCACCATACATGCGTAAGGTATATGGGTCTCATATGAACAAAGATGGTGACTGTGACTGTTGTGCAGACCAACGAGTACAAACTGAGTCGTTACCAAGCTTTTACTATGTAATTTTGTTGGGATTGGAAGGTATCAAACTGAAGGAGTCGCCGATGTAATTAGTACAAGCGGTGCCCAGGGCAAAACTCATACTTGTGATTTCTATAGAAGAGTGCATTGGATTGTGAGAAAAAAAACAAATGTCACACATGCGTGGCACACCGCCCTTTATCATTTTGCTATAAAGTATGGTGTTAATATTTACTGCGTTCATTAAACATAGTGCCAATAACAATGGAGTAAGGTTTGTGGGACTCAAATACATCAACCAATCAAATCACATCCACAATTACTTCATAGAAAAAATATTAGTTTGAAATTATGCGATTTGTTTCAAATCAAGAAATCTGTTTCTACAACTTCTCTAACTTCTCTTATTTTGACATTGATTGATTTCAATTTCAAACTGCTAAAGTTGTAAAATATTTTAAGTACACAAAATGTTTGCTCATAGCTAATGACAGCTATCAATCATTACTGTAAAATACTTTATTTTAGCTGGAATTAATTTTCGCTGGAAAGAAATTTCTGGTGTTTTCTATGAATTTTATTTTCAGTGATTTTTGATGAGTTGATGTAAAAAGATGAAAAAAAAAGACATTTTCATTAGATTTTTTGTTCACTCACTCATCCCTTCAGCAAAAATAGCCAAAATAAATTTCAAGTGAAAATAACTTACTTTACAGTAACTAGTCAATGTCTGCATGTAATTATAATTTTGCACATGTTTGGGACTGCTGTCTGACATGAGAGGTGAGAGGTCAACAGGAAATTTTACACATGCCAATATATTACTGGCAAATTTGTAGTTCTTTTTCAGTCAATAATGGTTGTTTGAGTTCTTTGGTTGCTAAGAAACCATGAACACAAAAGGGGCTGTCAATTGATTTTGAATCTGTAATGTACCCACATTACCTTTAAAAAGTGTGTTTAAAATGTGGAAAATGTTATTTTTTCACTCATCAATGTAGTTCATAGTCAAAAAATAATTTAAAATATTTCGCTATCCATATTTGTAAGATATTTCTGGGAAACAACAGACAAGTACGTCTTATACTGCGGCTGTATATTTGTTTTGTATACCTAACCTCCAATATCATCAGCTAATGGGCAGATAATTCAACAGCGTTGCAAGCAATGTTGCCTCTAAAATCTACCCATATGCTCCCCAAAGCAACATTATTGTGCAAAGTTGAATTTTCAGCCAATTATTGATATTGCTGGTAAGGTGTATGAAACAAATTCGCGAAAAACTTGTGGCTGGTTATAAAACTGACATATTTTTCTACTGAAGATATGTGCGCAGAAATGTAGAAACAAGATAACTTAAAACTATAGCTTTAGTATTTCTAGAAAAGTACCATAGTCAAAACTTCAAGTGACAAATTGGTTCTATCCTTATCTCTTTATCTAGCAACGCCCCCCACACAGGTGAGAAAGAATTTAGAGTTGACATGTCTGACCTTTGCCTTCCTTCATTTCATTTTTTCTGTGTTCTATCACAGTCTGTACAGCCTGCCTCACTATTTTCTTCCCTGCTTTAAATCTTCTATTTTCTTCTAGTGGTAAACTTTGATAGAAAGGAATTAAAATCTTCCAACTATGAAAAAAAAGGAGAAAACATATTTCACTTTGTTACAATATTTGTGGTGACAAATACATAACCATGGTAACCATTTTACATAAACATATGGTAACCAATTTGTACTATCTGATTCAGCATTACTACTGATGGTTCTTGACGTTATTGTGTTCACAATTGTTCCATTTCAAACTGGCACACACACACACACACACACGCACACACACACACACACACACACACGCACACACACAGTGATTTCTTGAAACCCATACTAATTAGTTAACTTGGTACTAATAAAAGTCATTGAATCATTCTGTGAAACATTTTTTTCATTGCTCATGAATATTAATTAATGCTGGTTCCAGCTGCACATTATTGGTTATCATCTTTGTGTCAAAAATAGTTCCAGGCAAATTTTATGTTATGACTGAAATGGCCACCGGGATATCAAAAGCTAAAGAGCCGCACAACTAGTTTTTGACCTTCAAATGATTTTCTTTCATCAAACTGACCACTTTTACCTTGGAAACATTGGTAATCAAAACATTGGACATGATGACGAGAGAGAACAGAACAATACTCAAGAATTAAAAACAAGTCTCTTGCTCACAACAAGATCTTGTCATCAATTGTGTCTCAGATCTCCAATACTTCTTTGACCTTTTTACATAGTAGATGTGCATTTTTTTTTTAAATTGTTTCCAACAAGTTTTGAGCAAGAACAATAGCAAATCTGAATTTGCCCATTTAATCCGAAATTGTAAAAAAAAATTCAGAAAAATCATAACACTCCTGGCATTCAAACAAATAAATAAAAATAAAAAACTGTTGAGAAATTGTTACTGTAGCCATACCTGGATGCTGGGAATCCTAATTGTAAGACATCCGCAAATGCCTGTGTTAATTTCTTTTCTGGTTCCCATATTGAATTAAATTCATATCCAAATGCACATTCACCAATCACATCCAACATCTGAAAACAAAACACACACAACATGAGACTCCTGGATACTGTAAAAGTACTTTATTTTAACTTAGAATTTATTTTCGCTGGAGGGAAAAATGAGCTAAAATACCTTTTTACATTCAACTCATCAAATATCAATAAACTGTGACTACAGTGAGCTGGGATCATTAAGACAGGAGTCATGGTGAGCAGGGATCAAGTATAATTAAAAAAGGAAAGATACCAGATAATGGAATAATATGTTATACAGCCTGAATTAACTGTGAGGTCACTAACCGTTCTACCGAGATCCTTCTGTATTGGCTGGGCTACCAGTCCATGCTTTGTAGCACCATTTTTCTCAAGGTTGCTTTTCCAAAAGCGATTCAATTCTTGGCCATATTTCTGGAAAGACACTACCATCGCTGAAAACAGAGGGAATGCAACATGATGAGAATCACTTCTTTTTACAAGGGGATGGAAGTGGGTAGGGAGAATTCACAGTTATTCTATATAAAACAATGCCAGGGAAAGGCAATAATTCAGTGACCTTCAGAGAGGACCTACTTTCCCTTATCCTTACAAGGATCTAACCGAGATTCTTGCAAAAATTTGAGTGAGATTTCAAATTACAGAAAATTGTATGGGTATGTAAGTTCGCAATTCTCACCTCTAATGCTGCGATAACTAAATGAAGGGTTCAACAGTTTCCGTTGTGCGGCATGGTCAGGACCAGATGACGCCAGTATACTGTACCCAGCAATACATTCCAGCAGTCTATGCAATGAAACATAAATTACTTAGTTCTATCTTTCAATGTATCTCATTCAATGTCCAAGTTTAATCTGAGTGTTCTTTTGGTTTTGGCTTCCATGTTGGAATGACAAATTTCAAGTCATCATCTAAAATTGTATCATGGGACAATAGCTTCATGATTTTACATAATAAACTAATAAACATTGTCATGTGATTTATGACCAATTTTGTCAAAAATTATGAGTAGGCTTCTAGAAGAAATTCATGGATTTTAATTTGCAAGAGGTGACAATAGCTGGGTTTGGGGTGCAAATGATCGAGGGCCAACAAATCTTGTGAAATTAAAGCAGTATATAATAGTTTCAGGCAAATAGCAAGATGTTACTAAAAATTAAACTGATATAATCATAGAATGTGGTACAGTAGACGATAAAGAAAATAGACCAATGGCTTGTCACTCAACGGCTATTGTACAAATACAATAAATCATAATGCAAAAAGTGGAATTTTTTACAAAAATAACAGAAATATTCAATAAAATTAAAATCAAAGAGAGCTTAAAAAGAACTCCAGCGTGTTGAGAGTATAACATAACATGATATTTGCAATTATCTGAATTCGTAATACATGTATATACCAAGTTTTGTTGAAATATGTTGAATGATTCTTGAAATAGCACCCAATACATGTAGCTTGAATTTCACTAGCTGATATGCAAATTAGATAATTTTTCATTTCCACCAAAAACTAAATATATCTGGAAACTGACCCAACACATCTATGCACTAAGTTTTATTAAAACATATTAAATGGTTCTCAAGATATCACCAAAATAGCCTAAATATTGGTATGTAAATTAGGCAATTTGCATAATTTTCCACCAAAATCAATCATTTCTATACACATTTAAATGAGATATCGCAAAACAACCACACAAAGTTGTCAATGGATAATGAACACATGTATGCCTAACACCAAAGTACTGGAAATAGTGGTTAGTTGAAATTCCATTTTTAACCAAAATTACAAAAATATTTGCCAAAATTAGAGAATTAAAGATATGGCCATGGGATGAACAAATCTAGTAGATGTCAACACAAAGTACATACACACCAAGTATCAAAGCATTCAGGCTACTGGTTTTGAAGAAGAAGTTGAAAATAGAATTTTTGACCAAAAATGACCATTTTAAAATAATCGCCAAAATTAGGAAATTGAAAATTTCCTATACCAAATTAACAAAACTGGTAGAGGACAACCTAAGGCACATGCACTATCAATATCAGCACTGTAGACAACTTAGTGTCATAGTAAATTAAAGAACTG